CCGCTCTGTTTCCAGCTGGAAATTAAGGCATTGGTTCGAGACCGCTGACATGATGTCTGGCCTGTAAGAGGGAAAAAATACATGCACGTTAAAATAAAATCAAGTTCTAAAAGCTAAGCTAGAGAAAGGAGTACATCCCCAGCTCCTTCACGCATCTCTTCACGCGGCTCTGCTGCAGCCTCAGGCAGAGAATTCCTGACCAGTGTTTGATAACCACAGAATCACAGGATGGTTGAGGTTGGAAGGGACCCTTGGAGACATTTGGTTGGACATCTGGTCCAACCCCTCTGCTCAAACAGGGCCACCAACACTAGAGGGTCCATTCTCAAATCGTGCAAGCCGAAATCACACATAGTGAAATTAAGTGAACTAGCAAAACAAGCATAAAATTCCTTTTTCTTTTGTTGCAATGGTTAGAAACAAGCCTTGCATCGTGCATATCATACTAGAATTTTCAGTAATTAGAATTTGTAAGAACAGGTAAAGACAAATATTTAGGAAGAAAAAACAACTGACATTTGGGAAGTTCTGCTGAGCGTGAGACCAAGGAATCTGTCACGTAACGTCCTCTCTCATCCACACACCAGCAATGACCTGGCCAGGGAAGAAAAGCAGCTTTATTTTAGATGTTGTACTGCAGTATGCTTTGTTGCGTACTGGGAAGATTTTCATCCTCAGTGGCGCTACAGAAAGTGGTCAGTAAATCTAGGTCACAGTTAACTCTGCTATCGAGAGATAAGTAGACTACACCTGAGAGCAGTGGTGAGAATGGAAATGTCGCAGCTCTGGTGAGACTCTTTCATTGCAGCCCTATCCTGCAGCATATCATCTACTCCCAGCAATTTGGTGTCATCCACAGACTTCCTGAGAGTGCACTCCATCTCATTGTCCCGGTCATTAATGAAGGCATTACGCAATACCAGCCCCTGAACTGACCCCCAAGGAACAATACTTGCAGTGAGCAACTGAACATCGACTGATTTTTGAGCCCAAATGAGCTGCCACTTGAGTCCCTTACTCCAGTCAATTTTTCACCCATCTTGTAGACTTCACCTCTCCCCACTTTGGCTACAACAATACAGGTTTTCCATCTTTTTAGTAGAATTCTGCTTAGCTTTTCTTTGTTCAGACAGCTCAGAGTGTCTTATTAGCATCTCCTCACCTGTGCTCTCATAGCACTGAGTTGGCTCCCAGTTTCCCAGGCCATCACACTGTGGGATGTAAGGGAGAAATCCCAGCTGCATTGCTTCCCCAGCAGAATGTTTTGAAGTAAAGTGATTCCGCCAGTAGAAATGCAAGACTATAAAAGATAAACAAAAGGAAGCTGTTAGTGGCCAATACAAGATATTTTAAATGCACATTTTTCCAAACACCTGAATGTTCCCTGTATTTTAGAAGGCAAATTATCAAACGCTGCAAGTACATAAAGGCTGGTAAGCATCCAGATCTTATATATACATTGTGTCATACATATATGACAACTGAAATCAGTCTTGAGTTGTCAGGTTAATTACACCGATTAATTATACCTGCTATGTCGCATCTGGTTTTCAGCAAAATTGATATTGACATAGAGTACTCTTGCACAGATCCTGGGCATTAATCCATTTAATTAAGCTCTCATCTCTCTTTCACCTACCTGACCATGCAGCCAGCTGGAGAGCATAGTCACTGCCCGATAACAGCTTTTCAGAGACCACCACTTCTGTCTCGTAGGGCCGAGCAGAACGTAGGAGGTCATTGTCTGTGAGCTGTATTCCCTTTGCCATCAAGAAGCTTTCTCCAAAAGGGAAGTGGGAACTATTTGATGCTAGGATGAGCTGCTCTGCCTCCTCCATAAATTTCATGGCTTCCTGCTTAACACCTTGACATATACCAGGACCTGTAAAACCAGAGGGTATTTTAATGCCTTTCATCTAAATCCCATAAAGATTTGCATGCAAAAACTAGCTGGTCTTTTAATTAGCATCTTCTGTTTCCTCCTGCACTTGCTTGGTTTTGAATTGCTTAACGAAGCAAGCAAACAAGACTCATCAACACTTAGCTATATAACCACAAGGGTCCAAGAGTACCAGGAATCACTCAAACATTTTCCAAGTCTTGAGCCAACGCTTTGATAATTTTAAGTTACCTCCTCGTCATTGGTTACAAATGGAGTTATATGTCTCTACAGAACTGTCCCTCAATCACTGTCATAAAAAAGTGGATAATCAGAAAAGTGAGTGAGAAAGGAAACTGAAGGTGTATCACTTGGGTCCAGAGTGCAGCTGACACTTGGCTTGTCCTCTCCGCACATCTACTGACCCAGATATGGCAGTTCAACACACCAAACCCAGTGAAAGCCCAGTGAAAGCTTCTCCACTAAAATAACTCTCTACTAATCTTCTTTGTCCCCTTTATTCCCCATTTGCCCACAGCACTGGCATCTCCAGCACTCCTTGTCCATTTGGAGTTTGCCATTCATTGTCCTGTCTCTTCCTCCCAGCTGGAAAATTACTGTGTGATGAGAATTGGTTTAGTGACTACATTTATAATATAGGTCATCTGCTGAAGCAACCCCACGGAGCTTTGGTGGAGAAGTCTAGACAGAGGGCTTACCAAACTTCAGTGTTGGCCTCACTCTTCTCCTAGTGACTTCTAGGGGATACTTGTTACTCTTGACTGTGTAGTAAGAAACAGTATAGACAATTCCTCTTGCCTCATTTTAAGGCATTTTTAAAAGTCATTTACATCACAGTGTAATCATGAATTTCCCATACAACTCTTCGCACACTGTTTCTAACTTCAAAGTGCCCTTTGCCATCTGGCAAAGCAAAAGCAGTTTATCTTCTGCAAAAGAGTTATCAGTTATCTTCTACAAAAACATTATATGTCCAAATTCCAAATTATAAAATCTACACAAACTTATATGGAACTTTAGTCCTCTTTATTGCCAAAGCTGAGACACCACTTGTTCACCAAGAATGAGTTACCCCACCTCTGGTGGCCAGTGACAATGGCAGTATTGATGATCTTTCCGACAAGTCATTGTCTCTTACCTCACAGCACTTTAAAGGACTTTCCTCTTGTGACATAAAAGGAAAGACCAGAAACACTGACACTTATGTGCCAGAAGTCCCGTTACTTACATGCTGGGACCCGGTTCACTTCTGCTTTTGTTCCTTGCAGCTCTTCTCCTTTGCTATCAACACACCAGCAATCACGAAGTTCAAAGTGGCTTAATGGAGCACTGAAATCAGTATAGGGTCCTGGGTAATAGGTCAGCTGCTCATTCAGAAGCTGCCAGAATATATATGGATCCAGTAAAACGTTCTCAGATGCATAGGTCACGTTTCCTTCAAGCACCTCAGGTGGGAGATCAGTGAAGGAGGAATACGAGGTGAATGCTGGGAAGACATTCTGGTGCCCAGCCTCATACAAGGCTTTAATAAAAGCTGAAAAGCCTTTGGAAGACGCCTCTTTATATCCAGTTATGATGTTAAATAGATCAGCAACAGGCAGGGTTTTGCCTTCATTGTTCTCTGCAATCCACCTTTCGTACCACTCAAAGGCTTGCTCAGAAGGTCCACTGCACTGCACCTGCCTCCAGGCACCGTCAGCATCACACTGCGGGAGGTAAATGCTGGAGGGCTGAGACAGAGTGCTTGGATCTGACAACAGGAGTTTCACAGCCTTTAGAAACTCCTGACCAGCTGTTACTTGGCAAGCACTGGGGCCTGGGGAAAAGCAAAACATGCATAGCACGTCTTATGAATGCACTGAAGATATACATATCCCCTACCCCCCTAGTACTATAAACACCATTACTGAAACTTTGTCACTTATCCCAGTCCCACAACATTTCTGGCCTGTTATTAAGAGGGCCAATGCTATTAAGGTCCCATGCTGAACCAGGGTAAGATTTCCAAAGGCATTCAAGTACTGAAAGATGCATACAGATATGATTTTTTTTAAATACTTGAGCACATTAGGTGCCTGTAGTTCTTCTGGGCTGGGGCAGGTGTTTAATGCCACTAAATGCCTTCCTGGATCTGTTCATATCAACTAGGTATTTTCAGATACACTTGATAATCTGGCAATTAATTCTTATTCAGCCAATCCCTGCAAAAGCAACCGTCTGAATAGTAGGATAATACTGATTTTATTTCCCCTTGGACCTAACCAGAATTTTCAGATTCTGTTGTCCTCTCTTCCTATTCTCTACTGAAAATTTCAGCTGAATATAAAAATATCATCCTTCAAAATGGTGAAGTGAGTTTGTTTTGGAAGCCTTTTCTGCCATCTCCAGAGCCAAATTTCCTTTTGCCACCAAGCAAGTCTACAAACCTAGCAAAACACACTAGCTCATGTTTTGAGCACCAGAGAATTATGAACCTGTTTATTTTTGATTGCTCTACAGATGGGTTACTAGATATAAATCCCCTACCAATTCAGATCATTGCAATAAATTCTCCACTACTTCTACAAACTGCTATTCAAAGGAGCTCCTTCACGATGTACTGCTATCATCTTCTGGATGCTCTGCTATTCCTTCCAAAATGAGAAGCGTGCTCTTCTCTTGGTCTGTTCTGCCTGTTGATATGATGTTTTCAGTTCACAGAAACTTGAAAGACAAATATCCCTACCCTATGTGCTTCCTTCTTCCTTTGTATTACATTACTAGAAGGGCAGAAGAGACAGTTCATAGTCTATAAGCAAGTTGCAATGCCAAACCAATGTCTGACAAGTCATTTGAGACTCATTTTTCTGGCCTGACTGTGTGACCTATTATTGAGAAACCTATTAGCCTTTGAATCCCTCTCCTACGTTTGGACTCTTGTGATAGCCTACCAAGTTGAGGATATATTCTTGAGCTAAAAGACTAAAAGAGATTCATGGTTTAAGGCGCTGAAGCTCTTCAGTTCTCAGGCGAAGGATGAGCCAGTGACCGTGCCCAGGTGACTTGGTCCTGGAAGTAAAAGAGCTTTTCACTTGGCATGGGTCACATTCAGTTACACAGATGCTCCAGGTCTCATGAGAATCATGGATGTTATACACACTAGCTACACACTCAAGTAGAGACAGATGCCAATGACATGCTCGTTAACAAGGCAAGACCTCAGGCTCCTCTGCTCTGAGTGTGCGTACCCTAACCCATTGAAAGAAGAGACAACCATCTTCAAGATTTAGGATATCAAGGTTTACATACATTATTCCCCTGCAACTGTAGGGCTGACTCACTTTCCCGTTAGGGGACAATATTGCTTGTATACATCATCCATACATTTCCAGATACAATCAGATATGAAGAAAGAATCATGAAAATACAACACAATAAAGAAGCATCTTTAAATTCCCACTCCCTAGGACTTACATTGCATCAGCTTTCCAGCTTTTCCCCTTATTCCTGGAATAGTATTGCCATTCAAATCAACACAGAAGCAATTTGTCCCATAACACTGGAGTGGCAGAAAGTCTCCATCTTCACTACAAGAGGGAATAAAAAGATCTGATCCCGCAGGCAGGCTTTGCTTCAAGTTTTGCTGGTTTCTCCTTTGCTTCTCACAATCAGTGGGACACCTTGGACGTTTGCCTTGAACTCTTGAGCCTGGAACTTCCTTACCTGAAGTGTCCAAACACCAGCACTCTCCTGCATAGCACTGAACTTCCTCATACCTCCCCTCCTTCGTGCATGTTGGAACAAACAGGTCCCTTGGCTCCTCACCACAGTCTTCAGACCCCAATGCTAGTTTCACCACTTCACCTAAATCTTCAGCAACACTTTTGGGGACAGAAATCACTTGCTGAAGAAAAGTAAAGAACTCTGGTAGTTCCAGAACAGAGGAAAGGAATTTCATCATATTCTGATTGTCCTGTAGAGTTACTGTGCGGCCAAAGCTGCCTACAAGAGGTTTACTCAAAATGGAGCTCCCCTTTGACACCTCCAATGAAAAGGTCTCAGCTGATTCCAGAAGGCCTTGGCCGTTATCCCTCTCTGCCTCCTGTGGGAAAAATTGGCCAATGTTGTATTTCCCACTAGTGCCAAGTGCCCCTGTGAAGTTAAACTGGATCAAATTCTTCAAGAACCTTCCTCCAAAGAGGTTTTCTTGGAAACGCTTTGGATCAGCAGTAAATTGCAGTGCCACTTGAGCCAGTTCTCTTGATGGGAACATCCCCGTGATGGCTTCACTAAGGGTGGTTTCTAGCCCAGGAATCTGGCTGACAGAGGAGCTTTGTACAACTGGGGACGACAATCCAGAGTCCAGAAACAGCTCCTTGAAGGAGGGAGGGCAGGGTCTTGAGAAGCCTGTTATTTTTTCCAACTGCATATCTGGCATGGAAAACAAATTCAGCTGACTGAAGTACCCAGCAGGGCCATAAAAGATCCTCGACAAGGCCCGTCGTCTCTCCGAGATGCACACTTGTTCTTCACCTAGACAAAGATTTTAAAAAAAAATGCAAATTTTTTTCTCCCAGAACTTGAACTTCCAAAGCCTGTAAGTCTATGGCTATCTTTCAAGCAGTCCCAGCAGAAAACACATAAAAGTATAGTTCAACCTGTCTCTCGTTCCTCAACTACACATCGTGCACATTGATAAGGAAATTGGAACTGTTGTTGAATATGGTCTACAAATAAAATTCTCCAGTCAAGACACAAAGTGAAAGGAAACATTCCTTCACCACGTCTGAGTTGTCTGCTCTGTAGTCTTTTTCTGGTTGTATTGTTTCCCAATGTAAACCCTCATTCCTGTTCCTCTGGCTGAAAGAACAAACAACATCTTTTCCAAATATGTTAACTCTCTGGTAGGATGCCTGCGTCTAATGAAATTATCTGATGATCCAGGTGCTATATGTGAACCTAAGAAAGAAACAGACTGCAGAAAAACAGAAAGTTATTTTAACCAATGCCCACTAATGAGGAACTTATGGAGGCTTCCTACCTAGATCTTCAGTTTCATAGTGAAGAATTCATTACAAGGGGTTTGAAAACAAGTTGTTAAAATTAGCAGTAATAGAGTGCTAAGGACCAGATGGCATGCACAAATGAGTTCAAAAGGAAAAAAAAATACAAAATTTAAACAAAAATAGTCAAATTCAGGATACTGAGGATACCAAGAGGGGCCCTGGCCACACACATCCTGGACCAAGCTATGCCATTGGTGTGTCTGCATCCAGCCCCGTCTGTACGTTCATATGCAGACAGTAATGCCTCCAAGTTAGGATGCAACACAACACTGAAGAAGGTCCTCTAAAAATATCAGCTTAAGGCTCAAAAGACATCAAAAAAGGAAAGACTTAGTAGATATAAAGACACTGAGAACCAATGAGACAGGATGGTTATGGCACTGACTGGGTCTCTGGAACACACGCAGCAGCTTGAATCATGTGCCACATGGTTACCTTTCCTTGAAAAGTAGCAGAATTATACAGAAGGGATGCAAAAATATTTTGAGGGCAGAACAGCCAGTAGGAGATGCTATTCAGCTTGGACAAAAAAATATGATAAAGGTTTTTAAAAAACAGGTTTCTCCACATAATTCACAATAGAAAATTATTATTTAGTATTTCCCACACTACAGGAATTAGAATGGTCCAGAAGTAGAGCACATAATTATGATCATTTATTGCCAGAGGATGCTAGGAAGGATAAAAGGTTAAAGAGTAATTAGGCAAATCCCTGGAAGATGACTCCATAGAGGAGTGCTGAACACAATGATCTGGGCTCAGCCTCTAGTCTGGGGACTCCCTAGCCTGCAGGCAACAGGGAGGATATATGGAAGCTATACGCATTTCCCACGTTTCTCACACTTTCTCTCTAAGCACCACCGCTGTCCCTGAAGGGGACAGGATGGTGGATAAAAGAGCTTTGGTCTGCTCCAGCATGGCCTCCTTTGGGCTCGCCGCCCCATCCCCATTTGTTCCACGTTCAGGCAATATTATAAAGCAGTCATAAATCCTGTTAACAGTAAGCATAAAAGCTGGAAATCTTAAAAGCTGCTAAAACAGATTAGCAAGTAATCTGAGGCTCTGTGATCATCATCATTCTCACTCCTCTTTTCACACCCTTGTCCTGCTTCGCAAGTCCTGGCAAGGGCTAAGGGTCCCTCACAGTGGTTCCTTTGTAAAGGCATTTTCTGTAGAATGGGCCCCTTCTATTTTCAGTGTTAGCTCTTGGTAAGACGGATGAAGAACATTCCTCTGGGGACCAATAAATTAGTGTAAGCCACAATCCCACAAGTATGCTAATATGAAACAAATGTAGGATCATGGTCTTTAAACGCTCTCCCCTCCTACCCACTGTTGAATCAAATCAAAGCAGAGTGAGAAGGAATAAACAGAAAAGCACTGCTGGGGTGAATTTACTATAAAGGTCTGAAAAGGAGCATGTCTCTATCAGGACAGCCTAGTCATGCGAGTACCCAACGTGCTACCCACACCTACATCTCTGCCTCCTCCAGCATTCACAGTGCTGAGTGTGAGAGTCGAAGATGTTAAAGAGAAATAAAACAGAGTAGAACTGGAGACACGCACATGGCATGTAGCTGTCTGAACACAGACTGCAGCTATATCCTCATGGAATACCTTCTTGGGAGTTAGTCTTCAAAACCTCTGCAGAAATTTTTCCCTGCTTAAATTTCCTGAGTCTGCCAATAAAAGCTGCAAGAAGCTTCAAGTCATTGCCTACCCTCCCCGCCCCCCCCAAAAACCCCAATCATCAGGAGGGCTCAGCAAAGCACATTCAAAGAGAAAACAACTGGTCCCAACATATGGCAAGGCCTCTCCAAGGTTCCCTTGCAATATCCTTGGTGATCAGCCTCGGAGGCATGCTAACATTTTCATTTCACAGTTAGCCTGTCTGTGCCCAGAGCACTCTGAGCAGCTTGGAGCCGTGACACCCAGGGTAGGTTCCTCCTTCTCTCTCTGCGTGGTAAGACTGCGTCTCGCAGACAGAGCAATTACATTCCCCGAAGGCGGCCCCCGTGTTAAGACCTTGTGTTCCCTCAGCCCTCTGGCACAATCCTGAATATTTAGGTAGTGCACTTCGGAGTGAAGGTTTTTAACTTTCCTCCTCCCCTCCAGCCCTTTGGCATTTCTGCTGTCATTTCCATTTGGAGCACTGATTTGATGGTGTATTCTTAATGAAATCTCTCAAAGCCCAAACCCATCCACCTTTCCCGAATTTTTTGCTTTTTTTTTACTGGATTTGGCAATTTTTGTGGCCAAATATGCAGTGACAGAGATGGGAAAAAAATGTTCAGGATGAGAGATAACTTAGAAATTCCACAGCATTTCACCAAAGGAAGGAGGCAAAACCCGAACCCACTATCACTGGCTTCCTTATATTATCCCAGATATTCTGACCTAATGCTCCAGCCCCTGGAGTCAAGACAGATATCACGGCTGCAAAGAAAAGCCTTGCTGTATGCAAAACTAAACAGCTAAACAAACGTCATAAAGGAAAACAAAAGGAATATGTTATTTAATAATTTATTAGAATGTGGCTTTTAACCCCAGGGAGGTTTTTGGACCCCAGTTTTTGAACACCAGAATCTGTCAGAGACAAGAAGGGAACTGGTCCTTCAGGTTTCTTTGTCTAAAGACGAAATTCCTGCAGTGGATGAAGTGTTTGGGGAGAGAAGGTGAACAGGCGTGGCTTGAGTTTGAAGCATACATGGATCTACAAGACAACGGTGCTTGCTAGCTCCTTTTCTCTTCCTACAGCTCCCACAGACCCAGGCTGGCCTTTCGCAGGCACCAGCTGGGGAAGCACCAAAGGACAACGGCTGGCATTTGCACCACACTTCAACAATTACTATCAAATCATTGCCCCCAACTCTCTTTGATTTTTCCAAGAAAAATGAAAGTGATTCACACAGACTGAGCGAGTAAACGAACACGAGAGATGTACTCATTTTTCCTCTTCCAAACCTCATACATACCACAGGCCGGGGGCTGTCCTCGTCTCTTTGTGCCCTGGACCTCTTGCCCTTTGGTGTCCACACACCAGCACTGTCCTCCCCGCTGACACTGCACTGCCGCATAGCCCCCATCTGTATCACAAGACGGCACGTAGGCATGCTGGTAACGCAGGGCTGCATACCGCTCAACCTCACACTTCGAGGGGCCTGGAAATAAAACAGAATGTGTTAAGGAGGGAAAGCTTAAAGTTTCAGAGCCATCTCTGCTTGATCCCATTGTTTGCCTATTTGGGGGGAAAAGAGAAAAAAAAAAAAAAGTTTAATTTCCTGACTGTTTTTAGGAAACTTCAAGTACCAGCCCAAAATGCAAATTCTCCATTAGGAAACTTCAAGTACCAGCCCAAAATGCAAATTCTCCATTAGGAAACTTCAAGTACCAGCCCAAAATGCAAATTCTCCATTAGGAAACTTCAAGTACCAGCCCAAAATGCAAATTCTCCATCCCCTTTTCCCCTGGAGATTTGGCCCCAGGGTTTTCTGCTGTAGGTATAATTTCTGAAAGCTAAACAGAAAATAAAACTTCAACACATTTTTCAGCCATAGTCATGGGTAGGCAGAGCAGCAGCATCTACTGGAGGCTAGGTGAGCTCTGGCCCTTAATGCAGATGCAAAGCTGGTCAACAGATATAGATGTGCAGCTGGGGAGACCAAGACACAGATAAGCAACAATATTTCTGGTGAGAGCAAGGCATTGCTCCTGCAAAAGGGTCTGCACCTGACTGTGGAGATTTGGTCCGGGACCATCCAATTTCTTTAATTTCCCTCTGCAGGGATCTGAAGACCCTTTTCCTGTCAAACTGGCCTTCTCTGCCATTTGGCCATTTGGCAGAGAAGCCAAAACTCCATAAAGCAGATTTTTGGAGTTATGATCTCTCCAACATTAGACTCCACTCTTCCAACAGAAATTTTGCTTGTTTATATAAACCTGCAATCCTACAGCCTAAACATTTCTCACCTTCAAGAGCTTTCCAGCTACACTCAGCTACCAGGTTGAGGCAGCAAAAGCATCACATCAGAGCACCCTGTTCATCAAGGAAGTCTGACAACTTTCCTAACGTGTGTGGCTTCAGGTGGCAGTATCAGATCTGGATAAGTCACCAAAGCAGTCCCTGTCCGTGGCTGAGGAACGTGATCACATCTCCATCTTGTGGCTGTTACAGCTTCGTCTTTGCTGACAGCTGCTGCATCCCTAGCTGCAGTCAGAGCTCATTGCACAACTCTGTGCAGTGGGAGGGGGAAGGTGCTTTCCAGACCCCAGAATGATCAGCTTGTCCCAGACATAGAAAAGCCACGTGACTATGTGGCCGGAAGACTTACATCAGTGTCTGCTTACTATCTCTGGTGATGCAACTCCTTAGTGACGACAGCAATGTCAGAAGAATTTGGATGGGAGGATGAAGGATCAAACCAGAGTGTTCAAACTCCCCCCAGCCAAGGCAATTCTCTTGGGCTCTGGTGTAGGAGAGTGAAGGAGGTACCTCACCTTCTGTCCTGCAGAGTTCACTGCCCGTAGGCAGAGAAACTCTCTCCCCATTTGCCTGCCCCAACCGGGGAGGGAATGGACCCAAGGGCAGATCCAGAAGTTCAGCCTTGCTCACAAACTCTTTCTTGCACAAACTCTTGTGTAGCCTCCTGGGGATCAAGCATGTTGTGGCCAATGTAAGGTCCTTCCTATTGCTGAGTGTACCGCCATAAATTAGGGAGCATTTTCTCAGGCTTTTAATTTAAGAAATCATCAGATCCACCTCCAGAATCTCAAGACGAGAGATATGGAGAGTTCATGGACTTCCAACTAACGCGTATTTCAAGTGCATGTGAAAGCACAGATCAGAGGACAGGCACAATCTGCTGAGAAGAATGTACAATCCAGAGATTAAAAGTCAGCTGCAGTTCAGGGGTAGTGTTTCTTGCACTGAAGCTGTGATATTATATGCTTTTAGTGCAAAAGACTCCTAGAACAACTCTCTCCAATGGCAGGTGCCACATATAAACTCCAAAATTGTCACCTTATTTACAGGGCATCACCTGGGTGTTACTTACATCTGAACTTGCCAGAGGTAGCTAGCTGAACCCCCAGAAACCGCCTCTGCAGGATCCGATATATGCTGGTCTCCGTGAACATGCGGGCAGGCTCCAGCGTGGAGAAAATTGTGTCATAAACTTCATCAAGCAGCAGTTCCAAGCCTGGGAAAGAGAGACTTTTAGCACAGAGTCTGGTTTTAAGACTGAAGTCACCTGCTTTACACCAGAGTAGCAGAACTGGAAGCCTATCAGGAAAAAGAAAACCAGTCCTCTAAACAGGCCAAACATGAACTTATGCTGCATAACCCTAATGCACCGCACCATATAACCCACGGCTGAATGCCCAGTCATTAGCTTTATGCCTTGATATCTACTAAAACAAGCAGGAGGAACATACAGTAAGGGGCACTGTGGTGTGATTTTGTTGGGTTCAGTCTGCAGTAGCGTAATTGATGGAATTTTGGAAACTGATATTACAAAAAACAATTGCCAATCATTTTGTTTGTATACCAAAAAAAAAAAAAAGACATGCAGTAGCTTCCCTGAGTGCACAAATTTTTAGAGAACTTCTCGCCTTTGTAGGAATTAAATGTTGAAGTTCTCATCTATCATCTAAATTTGAAGCTATCATGCTTTGCATTTTTCCTGGGTTATTTTGGTTTGTTTTATTTTTTTAATTTTTAAAACCACAGTATCTAAGGAAGAGGAGCTGGAAGTCCTCAACCTCCTCATTCCTTCTTCTTAGAAAAAACATTCTTTCTTATAAAGTGTCCCATCAACTATTAACATGCCTAAAAGGTATCCTGAGGCCACGAGAAAAAAGGAAGGACCATCTGATGTCCACACACATGGCAGAGGGGTTGGACTAAATGATCTTTAAAGTTCCCTTCCAACCCAAATCATTCCATGATTCTACCTGAGCAAGAAGAAAACAGTTCAGTCTCCAGGTCCTTTATATTCTCCTGCATTTGCTAATTGGACCTACCGAATACAATGCAGCTTTCTAGTGTGGGCAGAGGTTGGGCATTCAGAAATCCTATCCCACATCCCAGAAAGGATGGCATTAGCTCCTGGGCAGCAGCTCCACTTGCTGCTGACTGAAGCACTGCTCCTAAGGGTGGGATTTCACCAGTGAGTTCCAGTCTTTCCCATGGGCGCTACACTGGTCACAGTGGTCTTACCCCTTGTAAGAATGAAACAAGTCCCAAATGAAGCTGAAGACTGACAGTTGTTATTTGGCCCTTTCCCTTGGGAATTCAAAGCCGCTGAAGTTAAAGGACTAGATGCTGGAGGGTACTTACCAGTGTCTGCTAACTCTCTTCCCAGGCTGTCCGCGCAGTAACAGTATGCAGAGACCTCTGGGAACATCTCCCGCAAGGAGCTGAACGTTTGGAAAGCCTCCGGGAGCCTGGAAGGAAAAGCAGCCTCCTGTGAAGAGCCTGGGGAGGTGCATTGACAACAACAAAGCATCATCTGTCCGTCCCTCCTGAATTTGTATGGCAAGGATGTCTGCACAGCACAAAGCTGTTACAATGCCCTTCCATCTCCTTGTGGCAACAAGACTCTGACATGATCCAAATCAGTGTTTCAGCAGGCTAACAAGTCTCCTAAATGCCATTTTTCTAAGCACAATTTTTTAAGCAAACACAGGACAATAAGATCTCCCTTCAGACAGACTTCTGAGTCTTCCTAAGCAGGTGCCCAGCATCTAACACTCGTTTTCAATTCTATTCTCATCTTTGAAAGCCTGTCAAAGAGTGTAAAATAGGCCGACGTTGGCTTAATGTTATTACAACACCCGTTCGTTAGCTCCTTCCATGAATCTGCACAGAATGGCAGAGTGCCTAAACATACAGGTTGCTTCCTCTTCCCTACATGCTACATATGCTTTCTGCGCTGAATTAAGCACAAAAGCTGATAAAAACCTCACTAATCTTTTTCATTTTGAGAGCATGGCTCACAGATTAAGAAGAAAGGGGTTTTAACATATTACAAGTAAGATTGACTCTTACTTCTGGAGATCAAAGAAACACCAGTTTCCAGTAGAATATTCTAGGAGTGACAACAGACAGATTCCAGCAAAGCAATGATTTACGAAGGAAACTTAACAGGGTCAAAGCTGGAAAAAATATAATAAGTGCGATCGTAACTGACAGACACTCTAGAGTTTCTCCAAGCAAACAGAAGATAAGTTTTTCTAGATTCAGGCAATATTACCAGCAGAACAATTTTGTCATGTTCCAAAACAACTGTCTTATTTTACAGACATATACCCTTACCCTGAAATACCATAAAGGTCTGATGTCCCAGCTGCATGTGGCTTATTTGGGAAAAATCTGACAGCAGGGAAGTGGAATTTTCTGCTCAAGACGTTCAGAGAATTACAGAAAGTAGGTTTTTACCACGGAAGGACACTTAGCAGTAAGAGCAATGGTAGATTAGGCCCTGATCAACTGGGAAAAAGGTTAACATGCCAAAGCCCTTCACAGAAGCTGTGTGAAACTGGGACTGTGACCAGCCTCAATTCCAGTGTCATCCTCCTGCAACCTCAGGGCTGCTCTACAGCACGTGCAGTCTGCAGTGCCCCCGAGAAACGCAGCAAAACGTTTGCCTGGCTCAGGGCTGGCGGTCAGGTGAGAGGAGTGGAGTAATGGCCCTTTGCTACCTTCAGGAGCCTGCCTGAGAGCTCTGCCGCCTCTTGCCGGTAGAGCTGAAGATGTTACTGCTTCCTCAGTACACCAAAGTACAAGCTGGGGAATGCACAAAGCAACATCAACCCCTGGCAGAGGAAGGGGCTGGTAACCTCAGGGTTGTTCCAGCATTATCCAGCAGTGCTCCTGTCTCCGAGCTTGCACATCCCTGCGTAGCGCTGCTTCACCCTGCCACTCTCCCTCATCTTCAAATTAAAAGCCTACTGACTCCCTCCACTTTGGATCATCAAATCCTGCTCTGCTGCCAACACTGGCATGCTAAAAGCAATCAAAATGTCATACTTCAGGGCACAAAGGGACTTCTGTCAGCATTAAAACAATGCAATTTAAGATATAGACAGCTAAATACCATCTTTTATGGTCTTCTACACACACAAGGATATAAATGGCTTGGGGCGTTTCAAGAGCTTTCTGTTCCCCTGAATTATCATGCACTGACCACTGCCCAATCAGGAAAATGATCTTTTCTGTTTTTAGGAGAGCAATACCCATATATTGAAAGACAGACCTCCGCACTGCTCATGTCCCTGGAGCTCAGCACCTCAGCATCTAGCTGAGTGAAACAGGATGCAATGAAAAAATTCTGTATGCTTCTTTCTTTCATCCTCAACGTTAACAATTCAAATGCATAATTATACTACTTTTATATGGGGCAGGTCTGTAGTCATATCCTGTCATTCTGGTTATTTTTGTTCCAAGTTGAGAGCACAGCTAAATGAAGTACAAACAGATATAAATTAGGCCCACACAAACAAGAGGACAGAATTTTTCTCACCTTACTTGGAAAACTCACTTCCTACCACTTCTTTTCTTTTCTCAGCCTCTTTTTAATCACAGCCCCTGAGATGAGAAGTGATAATACAGAGTACCTCATCTATCAGACCCCGTCCAAACAATGACTGAAGGAAAGATGACGACATTTAAGTTATGGATAAATTTATAGTGTATCCGTGTGTTTCAACAAGAATGCTTGCACTCAGAAATATGGGAAAATAAATAAATGTGAGGTTGTTGACCTTTTCTTCCAACTATGAGTCTCTGCTCCTGGCTTCCAGCAAAGTTAACTCATTACTGATCTTCAAAAGCAGGTTTACAAGTAATTCCTTCTATGTTTCTATGTGCAGCTCAAGTTATAGCTGCCTTTCTCATTAACTATTCAGAAACAGAGGGAAAAAAACAATTTGTGGTTTTTTTTCCACTGCCAATGACATAACACATAATAGGGCAGAATCTCCAGTGAGCTGGGATAAAGTCACTGACACAAGGTCTCCAGTCTGATGAAAATTATAGCAAGAGAGTAGAAAGATCCTCCTCAAGTTTTGATTTTTTGATCTTTCTCCCCAGTCTGCTACAGGGCCTTCTCTATGACTGCCCATCCAAGCAGGACCCAGGCACAGTCTGTATAAAATAAGTAACAGCAGCCATGTTGCCAGGATGAGGCAGGAAATTTGGGTTTATCTTTCTTTCCAAAAGTCTTCCTCTTGGAAAAGTCTTAGCTCTAAATTTCTGAATTTCTCAATTTTTTTTTTTTAACATCCTGATTTATTCTGGAGTATTTATAAAGGTGTAAGGAAAAAATTTGGGAAGGGAGTTAGTTTGACATGTCTAGATTTCGAAAAACAGTCTGTGGAACCAATGAAAGTTGCTCCACTAGTTCCACGTGAACACAGAGTATGGGTTTAAATCCCTGTTCTGCTATAGTCCTTTGCTGTGGAACTCATCCCTTCAACTCCGTATTCTAGCGTCCTGCTTAAGGGACAGGATAATGACATTCCAGGCAGGAATAGTGTGAAAATAAATACATTAATGACCTGAGATACTGAGATATGATGGTGATGGGTTAAGTCAATGCCATAATTAGAAAGGTAGACAGCTGGGACTGAAATGATCCTGCTGTGATTAATTACGTGACACAGACACAAGAAAAGCCCAGTCTCACAGGCCTTTGCAGACCAATCTCCAAATGGGAAAAGAAAAAAAAAAAAAAGGTTAATTTAAAGCATTGCTTTCTCCTCTGTAATTGCTCTTTTAGAATTTCCATGCTCCACAGGCCAACAAACAAAACAGCCAGATTGTTTTGCTCTTGCCAAAATAACCTCTCCTGAAGCTCGGACAAATTTGCACTGTGCATTTGGGCCTGCCTTTCAGTTTTACTTAAAAAAGAAAACCCTCAAAACAGCAAAATTGACATTTACAGTAAAATGCCTTTGCTACTACAGAGCCAAGTCAGAATGAGACATTACATTTACTCCACTGCCCTCCACTGGAGAACTGTGTTGGCTGAGGTGCCAAGATAACAGCCCTTCGCAAGAGACCAAAAGGTTTCTCTGAAGTGTCTGAACATCTGTACCGAAACAAACTCCCCTGCAGTTCCCTTTGTCCATCCCTTACTACTCCACCTGAGCATTAATTCCCAGCTTCTCCACAGGACAACAGCTTCTTGCTCCCACAGACAAGCATTTGATCCAGCATTTTGAAGTCTTCCCCAGCCCACTCCAACCACCCAAAGCCAGTTGTATGTCAGCATGCCCATTCATCACCTGCTGGTTCACCTGTGTGAGCAACCCTGGCACTGCCTAAACTGACGGAAGTTTCCCACTGTCATGTGGAACTTGCTTTTTGCACGTTGCCTCTTGTCTGTCTGTCCCTCTGTTTTCATCTCCCCTATGGAATAATCTTTTCTACCGCACATACACATTTGAATTCCTCTCTTCCTTCCACATTTATCTCATTTGCTGTTGTGTGTCTGTCTGAAACGTAGCCCTGGCTACTTTTCCAAATACAGATTGCAATGTGGTATCCACCGCTGTGTGAGGACACACTGATTAGACTGCAGGGATGGAATATCAGGCTTTTCTAAATGAGAAAATTTAATTCAGAAGAAAAAGTTTTTTACTTGGTCCATTCACTAACATAAAATAACATGATATGGGGTCACAGAAGAAGGGCTTCATGTGGAAAAAACCAAATGCAGTAAGTCACCGACTTGAAGAGGTATGCAGGACTGCCTCCCTGTTTCAGAAGCCTATACTTTTACCTGTTATAACTATGGATGAGATCAAAAACCATCATGTCTGTAGTGTTGACAAACTTGCACTGGACAGGCAGAAACTCTCCATCTGCTGAGCATTGTGGTGGGCTCTTCTCCCCAAACCCATGAAGAATGCGACGCTCTCGGATCTCACAGTTCCCCGGACCTGACAGGCAAAAAAGGTAATGTCTACTGATGTTTTAACTTTCCATGAACTGCTGAGTAGCCATCCCATGGTTTGGAAGGGGTTTAGACTCATTACATTGAATATGGACCCTTAGAAGCCTCATATTCTCTTTATAACCAAAGGAAACAGAGACTTAAATTCCTCAGTTAAGCACCTATACTTCTGTAGGATAAGCATAGGCTGCAGCGTCCAAGCTCCTGATCTACCTACCACCTTTCACTCACACCAAACCTTCCCACTCTACAAACCCCACTGTTTTGCTGAATATTACTTACACCGTGTTGGCCTTCCTCTCTGCCTGGTGCCATAAATCTCCATTCCTTCTGGATCTACACACCAGCACTGACCCAGCTCCGTGTCACACTGCACCGCATCAAATGCCCCTGAATCCAGGCACTGAGGGATGTAGGAGATGCTGCTGCTGTTGATGTAGCGACTCACCAAGATCCTCTGCTTTTGCAGCTGGCAAAATGATAAACCTGTAGTAGCAGAGAGGAGCACTGTTAGAAGAAGATACTTGTTGGGCACAGAATCATTTATTAAGGCAACATCTGAGTTTTCTCAGAGCTGCAAGTTCTGATTCTGCCACCCAGGTGGCATGAGGACATTGATGAACCTCAGGTCATGAAAATTGGTATACACAAACCCACCACAGATGGCGTTGAAGCCCTCCAACTCAAAAGCCAATACATTAAGTTGATCTTTCATTTATGATTTACATTACTGTGACATTGACAGTGGGATTGAGTGCACCCTCAGCAGGTTAGCAGATGACACCAAGCTGAGTGGCATGGTTGACACGCCAGAAGGACAAGATGTCATCCAGAGGGACCTGGACAAGCTGGAGAGGTGGGTCTCTGGAAACCTCATGAGGTTCAACAAGGCCAAGTGCAAGGTCCTGCGCATGGGATGGGGCAACCCCCAATATCAATACAAGTTGGGGCATGAAGGGATTGAGAGCAGCCCTGCAGAGAAGGACTTGGGGGTACTGGTAGATGAAAAGCTGGACATGAGCCGGCAATGTGCACTTGCAGCCCAGAAAGCCAACCGTATCCTGGGCTGCATCAGAAGAAGCGTGGCCAGCAGGTCGAGGGAGGTGATTCTGCCTCTTGACTCTGCTCTGGTGAGACCTCACCTGCAGTACTGCATCCAGCTCTGGGGCCCTCAGCACAAGAAGGACATGGACCTGCTGGAGCAGGTCCAGAAGAGGGCCACCAAAATGATCCGAGAGCTTGAGCACCTCTCCTACGAGGCCAGGCTGAGAGAGTTGGGGTTGTTCAGCCTGGAGAAGAGAAGGCTGCGGGGAGACCTTATTGCAACCTTGCAGTACTTAAAGGGGGCCTACAGGAAGGATGAGGAGAATCTTTTTAACAAGGCCTGTTGCGACAGGACAAGGACTAATGGTTTTCAACTAAAGAAGGGTAGATTTAGACTGGATGTAACGAGGGTGGTGAAGCACTGGCACAGGTTGTCCAGAGAGGTAGTGGAGGCCCCATCCCTGGAAACATTCAAGGTCAGGTTGGATGGGGCTCTGAGCAACCTGATCTGGTTAAAGCTGTCCCTGCTCACTGCGGGGGGGTTGGGCTAGATGACCTCTAAAGGTCCCTTCCAACCCAAAGCATTCTATGATTTTATGACCTTCATGAATACAAATCATCCAGGTGTACCAGGTTTCCATGATCAGCTCCAAAGAAACTCCAGAAGTTTCACTAGAAAGACCCAGCAAATTACAACAAACTAGAGTTCACCAAAGTCTGGGGCTAACCTATTCTTGATTTCAGCAGTTCAAAGGCAGATTTAAATGCCTCGTTACCCAATCTGACGAAAAAAGAGAAACTTGTGACTTACAAGATGTGGGATATCCATTCTGTTTGCTGCCAGGAACCTCAATGCCATTCTCATCCACACACCAACAGGAAAGACCATTCCTACTGCACTGAACTGTCCTGAATGAGATTACAAGTAACATATTTTACTTTGTTAGCAACAGAGTCCTCAGTCAGTATGGGATGTAAACCAAGACATAAAGCAAGACAAACAAGTTCAAGTACTTAAACACCACAAATAATGGAAGCAGAAAGGGCTGTGTTTCTGGTGACTCAAAGTCTACCTGATGGGAGCTCTTAATTCTAGCAATTCTCTGAAGTCTGCAGGAATTGCAGATAAGTGACTTGAAGTCATGCAGGAAGCAAGCAGGTTGGACAGAATCCTGATTCTCAGTATTTGGGAATTACCATACATTTTGAGACTTTTTTTAAGTCAAATCTAGCATGGTGTAGATCCCCCACCCTAGGCAAAAACAGTGAGATAACAGTAGAGAACGCTACAATTTGCACTCCCTCTCAGCCTCAGCTTTAACTCATTAACTTCTTGCATCTTCAAGCAACATGCTGCTCTCTAGACCACTGTTCTCTATGTGCTTTAGTTCCTTTACTGCCCTTAGAAGGAAACCCAACTGTGCCACTTATAGCAACGTGGATAACTTCTCTAAGTCAACTTGGCTCAGCTGTGCCAGCTGGCACACTGATCACAGACCGTGTGCCCACGAGCATGCGTAGGAAGACAGCAGTTGCATTACACAACAACCTGCACCAAGTATTTAACATGGAACTAATGCTGCCAAGATTAGTCTATTAATATTAGATTGACCTCTTAACCCAGAAATTATTTCCAGCAACATGGAATTCATTCAGGAGAGGCTGTATCTGCAACATGGCTCAAGGAAGTCCCTTCAGTCTCCTGCACCCCTCACCCTCCAGTCCACTGATACAGAGGCTCTTCAAAGCTGAAGCTAATACTTTCATTAGTAATGAAATGTCATGTCACATAACAGCAGAATAATAGCAGGGATGAGTTACCTGAACTGGCCATCTTCTGAGCACTGAGGAATGTAGGTTTCTCCTTCTGAAAAAGCCTTTTCCCTCTGAAGTTCACATGGACGTAACAGTTGGGAATCTGTCTGGTATTCTGAAAGCAGCAAGAAGGGAAACAGGTAAGGGTGGTTTCACCACAAGCCTGTTCTTATCAAAACCCTGTTAGTGCCAACGCTGCGTGGTGAAAGCCCCAGGTCCAGTAGTGCTAAGTTTGCAGTGTGCAAGATTCAAGATCATTATGTCCTTCATCGGAATAATACACAGAGCAGCACAAAGATCACAGGAGCACAATCGCTACTGGACACAGGCAAAGGAAAAGAACAAGCTTGCTTACCAAATATATTGGCTGCTGCTATGCTAATAAAGCAGCAAAGGGTGCAAAATGGGATGGATCCCATCTCGCGATGGGAGAGCTCCATCCCCTTTTGTCAGCGAGGCAGCCCTGCACACCCCATGTAGCCTTTACCTGCCTTTTTATAGCAACCATCGCGCGGATGGGTTCACTTATGCACTGGTAGACTGGCCACGAAATTGGGCGAATGACGCATATGATGCTTCGGAGAAAACTGCAAGAGGCTCATTCACCTGGAACTGCCCTTGTCGTTCTCCTCAGCCAGTTCTCATCCCCGCTCCGGGGAGCACTACTGAGCCCGGTCATCGGAGAGGAGAACAAGTGGCAGCAGGCACAGGGGGTGGCAGGGGGGACTTAGTTAAATCAACATGCAAATTGAGCATATTGACACAACCCCAGCCAGAGCACCAGCTCTCACTTGCACTGTGGTACAACCAGACTTTGTGCTCTGTATTACAAGTACGCTTTTTTGTGTTTCTAGAGAGCCTAGCCTGCTGAGGGGACAGGCAAGACTTAGGCCTCCAAGCACTGCAGCACTAGGAGTAAATACAATTCATAATGTGGTTATTTATTAAGTGAAAAACAGGATGGATGCAGCTCCACCGACTATGAAGGGAATTGAGGGTCAGAGTCAACTGTGTCTGACCTTTTGCTTTTACTCCCACTTGCACCATGTGATTTTATAGAGACAAGTAACTGACAGGAAGCAGCTTAGCTTCTTGGGCTTCATCCTCCAGGTGTAAGATCAGTATAACCATTATGCATGTTAAGTCCAGCCTTTCAGTACTACTTACATGCAAGGTCCTTGACCTAAAACATATCAGAAATATTTCCTTGGTTCAGAGTATCATTTCTTACTTGTCCACCTCTTATGATTGTCAGTTAGCATTTACTTGCACCAGGAATTATGAGAAATCACCCTCATTTACGCAAAGCTTGTTGGACAAATGGGCCCAGAAGAATTAACTACATAATAACAGAAGCACATGTTTGAGGATGGACTTAGGCTGATTTCAGGAAAAAGTGACAGCAGCACTCTTGTGATTCATGGGTACCAGGCAGTCTAGAAACCACTCTACTCATACTCTCCTACAGACCAAGGCTGTGCTAACAGTGATTCAAGCATCCTTCTGTCTAGGCTGTAGACCACTACAGTGCTACAGTGTTTGATATATATGGTAAACGTGATCTCAAACAGCAGTACAATCTTGCTTTAGCATGGCTAGCTTTTTTTAAAATGAGTAGGACTATATTTGGATTTGACTTTCAAGCAACCTACTCAGGACTTGAGGTAAGTCAATAGCAGAAAGATCAAACTGGGAAAAGATGAGGAAAACATCCAGTGTAGATGACAGACCAAAAAAGGCAACCTTCAAAGGCATAAAGAAAAAGTTTTCTGAAGTTAGTCAAACATTGTCATTCAGGTTCCTTGCACAGCAAATGGGGAAAGAAGCAAGCTCATAAAGGTAGCCATTCACTTCCCTCCTTTATTCTTTGCTATCAAAGGTCATTAGTAGCTGATAACCAACTAAGGCAGACAGGAAACCAAGAAGGTATCAAGGGCTATTACTAACAGAAAGCAGCACAAATCTGCAATATCTACATAGTGTTGATTCCCAAGATTACTTTTATTTACTTTAGAAATACTCAGAAAACAACCTCTGAACTATGCAACTTGGGAAGAACAGCCAAGTCTTAAAAATCTCTTAAAAAATAGTGAGAAAGTGAGTTTTGGCAATTGGCATCACTTAAACCACTTCTAGATGTGCGTCAAACCAAGATGTGCATCTCAGTATACGCAAGTTCAATGGGATGCAATAGACCATGCATTTAAAAAAAAAAAAAAGGTAGTTTACAGAGCAATATGCACAATCCACATTCTTCAGTAAAAAAAAGGCACTTGTCATCTATGGCTGGTCAAATTCAGATAAAGAAAAGCCTCACTTCATAACCTTCAGTGAAGGGACAATTGAATTGACCTCTATTTTTAGCACCTGAGAAAAGATGGAAGAATATTTTAAATTAGCTCACCAATGAAGGGGAGAAAAGGAGCAAGCAGAAAAGGTCCCTGTGGCCAATATGGCCTTAAAACTAATATGTTTTCAAAATCATTGCTCTAGTGCTGGAAATGAGGATTTCATTTGTTGTACAAAAATCTACTCAATCTAGACTATAATTGTTGGGGGAAAGAAAAATGTCAGTGTGATGAAACACTGAAGTGGGAAACCTCAAGGGAGAAGCAGTTATTTAAGCATCCAGCTATATAACACAGTATTGTATTTATATATTCATTGTTCCAGTTTTGGATACACTTCCCTAGCAGAAAAGACAGTTTGTGTAACTGCAATTTTTACATATTGAAAAGCCCAAGGGTAAATGATGCCTGTATACAAATACATAAACATCTATACCCACGGAAAAGCTGCTCTCACCCAAATAAAACTTAAACTAAGGTTGACTCCTCAGGCTCAAGAAACGAACTTAAGGGAGCCTCCTGAAGGAGGCAGCAAATTGGAAGCAAACATTTTAAGAACTGAAAACATTGTCAAATTATGCCAAAATCAAGTAGTTCATTTTTAAATATTAAACTGCTTTTCTGTGTTAAATAGATCACCAATATTGTACAATCCTCTCCCCCCTTTTAAGAAAATGATGTGAAATCACACTCACACAATTTATTAGCAACTTGTTACACAGATAGAGGAGAACAATGTTTTATATTTGGTACATTTCTTCCCAAGCATGAGACATTCAGCTCAATCTTCTTCACATGATTTTGGCACAGATACCAATAACAAGACCTTGTGAAGTGCTTAGCATCTCCATCATCTCTGATGAAGCTTTAAAAAGTCCTCATGAGATGCAAAATTAAAAGATGAGAAGGAAAAAAGCATAGTCCCACCAGATAATACAAGTTTCAGTCACTTCATACATGACACGTTCTTCAGATTGAAAGAATGATAGAAAAGTTCCAGTAACTTCTATACTAAAATTGGCTAGCTCAGAAAAGCAAGCAGAGGACTTCTCAATTTTTTCTGTTACGATTTACCAGCTGGCAAAGTGCCTTTGGTGACAAGAGAACCTGAAGTAGCCCACGTAAGAACATTTGAATTTGCCTTTATCCCTGCAGAAATGAACCATTTCTAGGACAGGTAACATGGCTTTTTTCTTACTTTTCTGCTGGAGATAAGTTTTCCTCTATCTAAGAGTACCAGAGTGATGCAAGGTAGAAAAATATTTATTTTATTCTCATGATACCTGGGGCGCAGATTGTGCTGAAAAACCAACCAGAAGTCAGTTCTGCAACCCGCAGTGGCACAATGGATACATTTGCACACAGAATCAATTCAACATTTGACAAAAACAAACTAATGCAGTGAGAAAAGGCACCACCAGTCACACAAGAACAGCAAACAGGGTTCCAAACTTGTGGTGTTGGTAGGACAAAACTACTTTTAGTCTTTTTGATAATGCAATGCTTTATCTTCTCTGAACTGAAGGCAACAGCGTACAGTCAGTGGAGTCAGAAAGCAAGTTGAAGAACAAGCACAACTCCTTCTGCCACGCAACAAAGCTGTGGAATTCCGATGCCACCTGATGCTGTGGAGAGAAATGAATGAAAAAAAGATGGATTAAACTCATGGATCGCAGATCTGTCAGTGACTGATAAAACTGATGGTCTTCATAAAGATTTTGGTAAAGGAAACGTCAGTCTATCAGAAGTGAAAGATACGTTAAGGGAAAGACCAATCTATACAGATCTTTTATAGTCAGTATATTTCTACAGATGCTGACATTGTATTTCTACTGGATATAAGACACTGGGCTGGCTAGATGTTTGGTCTGACTCAGGAAACCTCTTCTTTAGTAAGTCTGCTAATTAGAAGTGTTTCAGTGTATTACTCCAAGATCTGAATTCAGCCTTTTATCTTAAATTTGAGAGACTGCTTTGAGCCTGTGCCTTCAATAATGATTAAAATATGTTTCAGAATTAAAATTTTGCAGTTTCTTGCATGTTTAAGATCATACCTATTTTTGCTGTGAAGAACACAAAAATTTCTCTGTTAGGAACTCATTTAGATTCTGTCTGATTTCATTCACCTGCCACTTATCATTTGCACGCTGGTCTACAGGACATCTAGAACAGCAACTTTCTTAGCATCATTTGCTCATTTCTTTCCTACCACAATAGTGTCAGAACAACAGTTTGTAGACAATACTAAAATATAAGAAATCACTAAAAGCAAATTGAAGTTATTTTGTGACGACATTGTACAAAGGCACAGAACTAGAAACGCCCTTAGAAGGCAGACGTCTGCCCACAAGAAGAGATGCCATCACTGTGAACGTGGTGTTGAAAGATACTGTCTCTCAAGAACCGACTGTATTGCAAAACTCTAACTCTGAAACTGTTAAACACCAAAGCAGTTCAGGAACAGAAAAGTCTTCTAATTACTTTGCCACACAGTAATTCAGTACTGTAAATAATTTACTGACTGCATAATTTGCCTATAGGCTACAATACAACTGAAGATTCCCTAAGGCTTTGCAATGTATACAAACAAATCGATGACTACATATAACTTACTGACTACAGGCTAAAAATTGAACTGAAGATTCCCTAATGCTTTAAAACGCATACAAGCACTCACTAGCTCACCAAAACAAGAGTCCACTGAACGGGAGCCCAGGCACATAACAAGCTCAACAGACCTTTATTGTGAGTATTAGAATGCAGTCAACATTATTGCCATTATAAAAAAAACAAATCACAGAAGAAAGTATTATGCTTCTCTCATAGAAGATTTAATAACAGTGCACTGCTGCCTCTCTGAGTGTGTAGTGACAATACACTGATGCACATGGCTACAGCTGAACAGAGGTGGCTCTAGCCAGTTTTAAAGAAAGGGAGGCTGCTGTTTGAAGTAAACAGCAATTGAACTAGCTTTAGATATTCAATCCACAGAACAAGGCTGGCTCATCTACTGCTTACACACAGGCCCAGTGTGTACGGTAGGGAAATTCACTCCCAAATGATTCTTCATG